GCATTTTTTTTCTACCATTTGACCATTTTTAATTATTCAATTCAGTGACATTAATTGCATTCACAGTGTAGCTATAAACTCTCATAACCACTTTCCATTTTGAGAACTTTTTCATTATCCCAAACAGAAACTCTAACTCTTAAGCAGTAACTCCCCATCCTCTCCTCCCCCAAGGTGGTAACAACCACTCTACTTTCTTTCTCTATGAATTAGTCTATTCTAGATATTTAATATAAGTGGAATTCTAGAATATTTGTACTTTTGTGTCTAGCTTTACTTAACAAAATATTTTTTTTAGCAAAATATTTTTAAGGCTTATTCATAGTGTAGCATGTATCCAAATATTATTCCTTTTTATGGCTGAATATTGTGTATACGTGTGTATGTGTATACTCCACAATTTGTTTATCCATTCGTCTGTTGATAGACACTTGGGTTGTTTCCCCCTTTTAGCTGTTATGAATAATTCTGTGAATGTTGGTGTACAAGTTTGAATCCTTGCTTTCAGTTATTTCATACTTTAGAATGAAATTGCTATATCATATGGTAATTCTAAGTTTAACTTTATGAGGAGTCACCAAACTATTTTTCACAGCAACTACATCAGCATTTACATTTCTATCAGTAGTGCACAAGGATTCCAGTCTTTGCACATCCATACCAAAACCTTTTTTTTTTTTAATAATCACCATCCTAACGAATATGAAGTAGAATCAATACATTCTTAATTACCTCTTAGTTTGTAAGACTGCATGAGTCAGTTGGTGTGTCTTCTTAACACACTTAACCTTTTTTTATTTTCCTTCCTTGAGATGGAGTCTTGCTCTGTCACCATGGCTGGACTGCAGTGGCACGATCTCAGCTCACTGTAGCCTCCACCTCCCAGACTCAAGTGATCCTCTTACCTCAGCCTCCTGAGTAGCTGGAACTACAGGCGTGAGCCACCACTCCCTGCCCAAGCTTAATCTTTGTACATAAAATCTTTTAAAACAGCACTGATGGTGATATCACTTCCAGATTGGGTTGTTTTCTCCTCCAAATAATATCACTGACTGGAATAATTACCTTTGTTCTATACAATAATTAAAATGGCAGTTTTGAATTAAAATGGTAGTCTATAAAGGCTTTAGGTTTGTTTTAGTGTTTGACTTCTTATATAGCTATGAAAAGTATATAAAATAGAGTTAAAATGATAAATTGATGTTACTAATTATTTAAATCAAAATTTGCCAAATTCTAATAAAAGTAAATTGAGTTACTCCAGCTGTTACCTGGAGATTGAGAGGTAAAACTTACTACAATAATTTGACTTAAAACAGTGTTTTTCAAACTTTAAAGTGAAGAAGGTTCATGTGGTAATTTTGATAAAATATAGATTCTAATCTAACCTCATGAGGCCTGTTCTTCTGCATGTCTAAAAAGCTGCTCAGTAATGGCCAGGAATACCCCTTTGAGTAACAATAATTTAAAATATTAATGATGATAAAGCATAATTGAATAAAATGTTTTAAAGTTCTGAAGACTTGCAAATCTAAGTTATAAATATAAATCTATTTAGAACTTTTGAAATATGTAAATGAATACTGATTTTTTTAAAAAAACTGGTCTAGAAGATGGCCAATTAGCAGCAGCTCCCAGTGAAGGTGCAGGGAGTGAGTGGATGCCAGACTTCCAGACGAATTTTTGTTGCCCACAGACCAGGAGATTACCAGTGGAGGAGCCCTACGGGTCGCCAGTGCAATTCTTTTGGCCGGTGTGGCTGTTTTACCAGCCTCCCGGTGCAGTGGTTCTCAGTGTGGAGTATATGGGACTGGGTGCCCTTTTAGTTGGCGTTTGGAGCTCCGGGAAGGCAGAGTTGCCCATTCAGCTGATTGAAAAGCGGACTGAAGCGGGGAGCCAGACCAGGAGATTCCCACGAATCTCAGCACCGCTGTTTCAGCCGGGCGCGGTCACGGCATGCAAAATTGCATAGATCCTGGTGCCTTTTCAGCGGGTGACTGGGGCACCTGGGAGAGAATCGACCATTCAATTAGGAAAAGAAAAAAGGGGGCTCCAAGGCAGGGAGCCAGGTGATCAGGCTCGGCTGGTCCCACCCCTACAAAAAAACAACAATTGGAAAGGTTGAGGGTTGAGAGTTTCACAGCAAGCACAGCTGAACCCAGGAAGGTCCAGCTCTGTGGGGGAGGGGCATCCACCGAAGGAAAACAAAGAAAAAGAAATAATGTCATCACCAACAAGCTGGACGTCCACTCAGAGACCCAATCTCAAAGTCAGCAATTATAAAGACGACAGGTGGCTAAATCCACAAAGATGGGAAGAAACCAGCGCAGAAAGGCTAAAAACATCCGAAATCAGAATGGCTTTTCTTCAGGGGATCACAGCTCCTTATCAGCAAGGGAACAAGGCCTGATGGAGAATGAGTGTGATGAATTGTCAGAATCAGGCTTCAGAAGGTGGATAATAAGAAACTTCAGTGAGCTAAAAGTACATGTTCTAACACAATGCAAAGAAACTAAGAACTTTGAAAAAAGGTTTGACAAAATGCTAACGAGAATAGACAACTTAGAGTGGAATATAAGTGAAAAACACAATACGAGAACTTCACAAAGTATGCACAAGTTTTAACAGTCAAATAGACCAAGCAGAAGAAAGGATATCAGAGGTCAAAGACCAACTCAGTAAAATAAAACGAGAAGATAAGATTAGAGAGAAAGGGCAAAAGGAATGAGCAAAGTCTCTGAGAAATATGGAACTATGTGAAAAGACCTAATCTACATTTGATAGGTGTACCTGAATGTGATGAAGAGAATGAATCCAAGCTGGAAAATATTCTTCAGGATATTATTCATGAAAACTTTCCCAACCTAGCAAGGCAGTACAATATTCAACACCAGGTAATACAGAGAACACCACAAAGATATTCCTCAAGAAGAGCAACCCCAAGACACATAATTGTCAGATTCACCAGGGTTGAAATAAGGAGAAAATGCTAAGGGCAGCCAGAGAGAAAGGTCAGGTTACCCACAAAGGGAAGCCTATCAGACTCACAGCAGATCTCTCAGCAGAAACCCTACAAGTCAGAAGAGAGTGGGGGCCAATATTCAACACCCTTAAAGAAGAGAACTTTCAACCCAGAATTTCATATCCAGCCAAACTAAGCTTCATAAGTGAAGGAAAAATAAAATCTTTTGTGAACAAGCAAGTATTCAAGATTTCACCACCAGGCCTGCTTTACAAGAGCTTCTGAAAGAAGCACTACACATAGAAAGGAACAACCAGTATCAGCCATTCCAAAAATATACCAAAAGGTAAAGAGCATCAACATAATGAAGAATCTACATCAATTAATGGGGAAAACAGCCAGCTAGCATTAAATAGCAGTATTAAACTCACATATATTAATATTAATCCTAAATTTAAATCGACTAAATGCCCCAATCAAAAGACACAGACAGGCAAATTGGATAAAAAGCCAAAACCCATTGGTATGCTGCATCCAGACCCATCTCACATGCAAGGATACACAAAGACTCAAAATAAAGGGATGGAGGAAGATTCACCAACCAAATGGAGAGCAAAAATAAATAAATAAAATGCAGGAGTTGCAATTCTCACCTCTAATAAAATAGACTTTAAAGCAACAAAGATCAAAAGAGGCAAAGAAGGACATTAATGGTAAAAGGATCAATGTAACAAGAAGAGCTAACGATCCTAAATATATATGCACCTAGTACAGGAGCACCCAGATACATAAGGCAAGTTCTTAAGGACTAATAAAGAGACAGACTCCCACACAATAATGGTGGGAGACTTTAACATCACATTGTCAATATGAGAGAGATCAGTGAGACAGAAAATTAACAAAGATGTCCAGGACTTGAACTCAGACCTAGAACAAGTAAACTTAATAAACATTTACAGAACTCTCCACCCCAAATCCACAAAACACACATTCTTCTCAGTACCACATCACACCTACTCTAAAAGTGACTACATAATTGGAAGTAAATCACTCCTCAGTAATTGCACAGCATTTTACAGGTTTAAATGAAATATTGGTTGGCTGCTTGTTTGTTATTTTCCTCCCTTATTCCTTCCTGTCTCCATTGTTAAGCACAGTTATTGGCATAAAAGAGGTTTTTAATACCCATTTTTAGACTGCATTCTAGCCTGGGCAATAAAGCAAGACTCCCTCTTTCTCTTCCTCTTTCTTTCTCTCTTTCATTCTTTTTTTTCTCTCTTTTTCTTTCTTTTTTCCCTTAAAAAAAAGAAAAAAAGTCAATGCCTTTCTAAAAATATATAAAACTAGCCCAAAAGTGGAGAAACCGTATTAACCTGCTCAGAGAAAACGGGGTTCAGTAGTAAGTACTTTCAGCACTAGAGAGAGTCAAGAAGGGTGACAGGTCAGGACGGCTCCCTGTGTCTAAGAACGGTCACTTTTCCTTGAGGATAGATTTTATGCCATCTACTCTAGCTTAGTATAAAAGAAAAAAAAAAACTAGTCTAATGGTATTAAGCTTTGGAATCTCATTTTCAGTTCGTTTGTTGAAATGCTCCATCTCTCATTAGTCACTGTGCCTTAGTTTTTTTCAACTTTAAAATTGTAAGAACACGTTCTACTTTTTTTTTTTTTTTTTTTTTTTTTGAGATGCAGTTTTGCTCTTGTTGCCAGGCTGGAGTGTGATGGTGCGATCTCAGCTTACTGCAACCTCCACCTCCCAGGTTTAAGCAATTCTTCTGCCTCAGTCTCCTGAGTAACTGGGATTACAGGCACCACACGCAACTAATTTTTTGTACTTTTAGTAGAGACAGGGTTTCACCATCTTGGCCAGGCTGGTCTCAAACTCCTGACCTCAGGTGGTCTACCCGCCTCGGCCTCCCACAGTGCTGGAATTACAGGTGTGAGCCACCACACCCAGCCTCTAAATTTTTTTTTTTTTACCTTGATGTTGATGAAGAGTATTTTAAAATTGTCTTTTCTATGTTCTTTTTTTCTTTAGGGAGTGCCTTGGTGAAGCACATGAGCCTTGTGACTGCCAAACATGGAAGAATTGGCTGCAAAAAATAACCGAAATGAAACCAGAAGAACGTAAGAGGAATTTTAGATAGCTTTGCTACATATTTCCTTATAGCATTCAAAAGAAAATGTGGTCATATCTTTTTTAGTCTTCATTTAAGAGGTTTCCAAATTTGTTAATGCAAGCGCTCTCCTGTTTAACTTCACCCTTTTGACTAACGTCCTTTTGGAAGTAATAGAGTTTTGGCAAGGAGGAATCATGGACAAGTTTTCCATGTTTCTAACAGACTTGCTTTCCAGCCAAAGACAAACAGCGTAAATAGGGGTCATAGCTAAGCCTCCTCCTACAGCCCTTTTCTTTTATCCTAGGGTGAGCCAAACAGTTACTCTGTATTGTGTGGGAAGTAGTATATGATCTGCAGTTTGAGTGAGTTTCCCGTATCCCTGAAAGCTTCCAATGAAGGATACAGCAAGTTAATGTTTTGCTCTTGTGTGGTTCTATAGATGTACTGATGTTAAATACCTTATAGATAAATGTTGTCACTGAGGCTTCTATAAATACATTATCTCTGTTAATCGTCACAGAAATGATATGAGGTTGATGTTGGTAATCCTGTTTTACAGAGGAAACTAATGTTTAGATTGGGTTGAATGACACAGGGCATGCGCCTTGTAAACAGAATGGTTTGAATCTCTGAGGGGACTCCTTTTTAAACCCTTCCTAATAGCAGTTCCCATGTTTAACAGATAAATCTGTCTGCTCTGCAATAATTTCCCATCTTCTAAAATGTTTTATAACAACTGTTTTCTCTCAAAAAATATAAACAAAAATTAATTTAGTTCTGGTCTTTTTTAAAAAAAGATATAGATAATGGTGTTAGCTTGAGATGTTTCAAGTCAGGATCAAGAATTCACTCAATAAGTGTACACTTATGAGTAAAGCACATAATAAAGATAATGCCAGACTTCAGGACATGCAGAGGGTAGAGGGAAGCAATCAGACATTACAGTATCATATGATAACTGATACAGTTGAGTAAAGATGAGACTCCAGAAACAAGAACAACAAACTCAGGTTCAGAGGAGAAAGGATGTCAAAGAATCACCTTGAAGGTGATCTATCAACTGGATTTTAGCATCTCTGCCTTTTGGTAGGTAATTACCGTCAGCAACTGAACTAGCATTGAGAGGGACTGCCCAGCAGCCATGATACTTTACAGGCTTGTATTATATCAGGGAACTTACCACTGCCTGAAGACTTGTCCTCAGCATTTTAGATCTACAAGGTTCACTTTGTCCACTGACTCAGGGTTATTATGACCCTTGGAGAAGAGACTACCATATAAACCAGAATGCCCATTTATTAGTTGATAATGAGGGTGATCCCTTTCACTTGTTGAGAAGGCTTATGTCCATTATCAACAGCAAAGAAAAGTGATTATCTTAGAATATTTTCTAGTGAAGCCTGATTAAACATTCTTGTCCTGTTCATGCACCATTCAGTCAACAGATTTTTTTAAGCCAGGTACAATGGTTCACACCTGTGATCCCAGCACTTTGGGAGGCTAAGGCAGGTGGCTCACTTGAGGTCAGGAATTCAAGACCATCCTGGCCAACATGGTGAAACCCTATTTCTGCTAAAAATACACAGATTAGTCCAACATGATGGTATGCACCTAGGGAGGCTGAGGCAGGGGAATCATTTGAGCCTGGAAGATGGAGGTCGCATTGAGCTGCATCGCACCACTGCAGTCCAGCCTGGGTGACAGAGTGAGACTCTATCTCAAAAAAAAAAAAATTTTTTTTTCTTAGTACTTGTTATTTGCTAAGCACTTCCCGAAATAAAAATACCTGTATAAGGCCAGGCGCAGTGGCTCACACCTGTAATCCCAGCAATTTGGGAGTGCAAAGTGGGCAGATCACCTGAGGTCAGGAGTTTGAGAACAGCCTGACCAACACGGTGAAACCCCATCTCTACTAAAAATACAAAAAATTAGCCAGGCGTGGTGGTGAGCACCTGTAATGCCACCTGCTCGGGAGGCTGGGGCAGGAAAATCACTTGAACCCAGGAGGCAGATGCTGCAGTGAACCCAGATTACCCCAGTGCACTCGAGCCCAAGAGCCAGAGCGAGACTCTGTCTAAAAAATAAAAAAAATGCCTGTATAGATTGTGCTTGTTCCCCAGATTCATTGTACTAGCCATTACTCGTCATACCCACCATTTCTCCTATTCTCCTGATATGTATGGATGTTGTATGTGTGTTTGTGTTCCCTAAATAGATTCATACTGTTACCCTGCAGCACCTTTAGATGTGACAAAACAATTGGAATTTACTTTTTTCCTTGCTTCTGGCAGCTAGAAATATTTATATTTCTATTATGAATGGCTTGCTATTGCCTACCTACCTACATTTCTTTATACATTTCTTTAGAACTTAATGTTAAGTTCCATGGAACAAAATTGCAAGAGATGAGGCTAGAAAGGTAGATGTTGCCAGATTGTGAGCGTTGTTGCCAAATTGTTTTGAATTTATCCACCTAAGAGAATAAGCCATCGAGTGTATTATTTAAGTAGGGAAGTGGCAGTATCAGAAAAGTTATTTTTATTAAGATAAATGATGCGAGTGAAGGGTGAATTGAAGAAAAGGTAGACTAAAGGTAGGAAGGTGAATTTTTTATTTGAGTCAGAGGGTAAATTATGCCATTAGTGAAACAGGAAACTCAAATAAACAAGTAACTTTGGGGAGGGGGGAATAATAAGTTTTGGTGTAAACATTCTGAACTTGAAGTACTTACCCAACATGTATGGAGATGTCCAATAGAATTTTACAAGTGTTCGTCTGAAACTCAGAAAAGATGCTAAGAATCTTAGGAATGAATTATTCATTTTAAATGTTATATTCATTATTTAATGAACTTTTATTGAGTGCTCTTTTATGTTAGAATACAGAAATAAGATGCCCTCAATGCTCTTGAAGTTTATATTTTAGAGAGGCAACTATATACAAAACTAAGGAAAAATGTGTTATGAATGTGAGAGAACATTGTTCATGTATGTGATAACTTGGAGAGGGGAAGGATGAAGAAGGAAGAGATCAGTTATCTATGGGAGAGGGTTAGGAAACACTTTATAAAAGAATTGATGCTTAAGCTGCATGTTGAAAGCTGATAGATGTTCTTCACATGAATCAGAATAGGAAAGACATTCCAGGAATAGGGTGAAGTAGTAATCTGAAGTACTGTGGCATATGCAAGAACTGCAAATAATTCATACAGTCAATGCAGTGGTGTGTTGAGAGATGAGACTGTGCAGACAGGAATCCAAATCAAGTGTTTGGCACAAAGAGGTGGTTATGCACAGTGCTAGGAAATCTGACCTTATCCTGACACTGAAAAGGAGTTTTAAGTAGGAGAGTGATGAATGAAAAAGCTTACTGACAAAGATCACTCAGGCAGAAGTATGGATGATGAAATGGAGAGTATTGAGAAACTAGATAAGAATGGTAGTTTTGAGACAACTTCAGAATGATCAGGTGAAGGATAAGAGGGCTTAAGATGGGTAATTCGGGTGGGAGGGGGTATGTGCTGGAGAGCTTTAAGATATATTAAATAATCTTATTAAGTAATAAACCTTTTGTGCTTACTAGTTTCCTAAAAGAGTTAATGTACCATAAGAAGTAATTAGTCTAGCATATTATTCTATTCAATTATTGAGTAGAAAATGCCCATCGATGTTTGAAATATAAAGCAAGTAGTTTTCTTTTATTTTCCTCCAAACCCCCATCCCAGTCTCCAAGGTGAGTTAGCATCTCCACAGCTGTCTAGATCCTGGTTCCTGGGAACTCGAGGTGAATACTGATCTTGTGGGCACTAAGTGACACACTGGCCCTCTCAAAGTGCTACTATCCTGTGGCATCAAATGATTTTGTGCATCACTTTCCTAGTCTTTTGTTAGCAAATCTGATCCATTACCCTGAAAGAACTGTTCTCCTTTCAAGGTTTCAACTGTAAGAACAAATCACTCACTAGGTAACTGCCGATCAGTCTCAAACTATGGATATGATCTTTTAGGTTTATATAATTCACCTATTTTTTTCTTCCCACAATTCTTCAGGTTTATTATAATCTTCTGTTTTGTCTGTGGTCTAATTAGAGTAATTCATCTCCCTACTTGCCCTTAATTCACAAATTACCCCAGTTTTACAGAGGGAGATACCAAGGCCAAGAGAAACCAAAATGTTCTGCCACACAGCAAATCCATTTCACATCTGGTATCAGAACATGGAAAAAGTATTTAAAGCAAGTATTTTTAAGTCGATGGCTATTTTTAGTTATTTCTTACCTTATTAAAAATTGATAAATCATTCCATACCAACAGATAAGTTTTTGCTAGGGACGGAGAAGAATGACCTGGCTAGTGAGAACAGATTATAGGTGGGACTGTGAAAAAATGTCCTTGGACCTGATAATGATCCTGATACTAAGAGGAGGAAGGAAATAGAAAGGCTAGAAAATGGTGTATACATGGTTACTTCTGATGGCCAGAGATAGGGAGATCACAAATTTAAAAACTGGAGATCACCCTTGAAGATCCCAAATGGGTTTTGATTTGGAAAGGTGGAAGAATGTTTGAAAACATGATAGGAGACAAAAGACTGAAGACACCTGAGATTTGTTCTACCAGAGAAAGAACCAAGCCAAGGCTGTGGAGAAAGTCCCAGTAGTTGTTAAGAAAAGCCTAGGAGTTTTCTCACTCTGCTGAACTGTGTCTTCCACACTGAAAGACGGTGACTAGTAATGGCTGAAACTTAGGGTTAGGATTAAAGTAAACAGTAATTGGCCAACTATAATACTAAAGTAGAACACCATCATTAAATATGCAAAAATGATATTTCAAAAGGAAAAGTGTAATTAGGTACTATTTTAAGTTTGTGTGTTACTTGGATTATAGCATTTTTACTTTGCATTTTACGCAAAAAAAAAAAAAAGGCATAAGCATGTTTAACCAAATTTGTAATTTCATGACATTGTTTTCTTCTTTATGCCCAGTTTTCCAAAGTCTTTGAATTATGAGACTCAGGGTGAGAAAAACTAATTAATGAGAAAGAAGTATTAGAAAATATACTGAAATCAATTCAAAGAATTAATTTTTCTTTTCTTTTTTTTTTTTTTTTTTTTTTTTTTTTGAGACGGAGTTTTGCTCTTGTTGCCCAGGTTTGAGTGCAATGGCACAACCTCGGCTCACCACAACCTCCGCCTCCTGCCTCAGCCTCCTGAGTAGCTGGGATTACAGGAATGTGCCACCACGCCCTGCTAATTTTGTATTTTTAGTAGAGACAGGGATTCTCCATGTTGGCCAGGCAGTTCTCAAACTCCCAATCTCAGGTGATCCACCCACCTTGGCCTCCCAAAGTGCTGGAATTACAGGCATGAACCACCGCACCTGGCCTAGAATTAATTTCATATAAAGATTTAAATAGTGTTTAAGTGCTGAAATTGCCTCTATTGTGTCTAATTAGAGCAAGAAGCAGGAATGGTTATATTTTCTATAAAATGATGGTTAATTTATAAATTTTTCAGACTAATATTTTTCATAGGACCTACTCAGTGAAAGGAATTCAAATTGTGTATTTAAAAATTCAGTCTTTGACTAGGTGCAGTGGTTCACACCTGTAATCCCAGCACTTTGGGAGGCCAAGGCAAGAGGATCACTTGAGGATTAGAGTTCAAGACCAGCCTGGGCAACACAGTGAGATCCTGTCTTTCCAAAAAATTAAAATCTTAGCAGGGCATGGTGGCACATGCCTGTAACCCTAGCTACTTGGGGAAGCTGAGGCAGGAGGATATGTTGACCCCAGAAGTTGAAGGCTACAGTGAGCTATGATTGCACCACTGAATTCCAATGTGGATAATTGAGTGAGTTCCTATTTCTAAAAACAGTAAAAATTCAATCTTTAAAAGCAACTGTGTTTTCACATGCATATCTGTTGATTCTATTAATAGATACTAGATTTTGTGATATTCTAATACTTTATTATGTAGTTGATACATTTTACAAAGAGACCTAAGCACACTAGATTTTAAGAAAGATCAAGATATAAAAGAGATGTGACTGAAGTGAAGGGAAGAGTTTGAAAGTCAGTAGAGGTGAAAAAATCTCACCAGATAGATTGAAGGGAGATGCGGTGTTGTCAGTGTTATGAACAGTATGTATAAGCTGGATACGGTGGCTCATTCTTGTAATCGTAGCACTTTGAGAGGCCAATGCAAGCAGATCACTTCAGGACAGGAGTTTGAGACCAGCTTGGTCAACATGGTGAAACTCTATCTCTACTAAAAATAAAAAAGAAAAAAAAAATCAGCCAAGTGTGGTGGCAGGCCTCTGTAGTCCCAACTAGTTGGGAGGCTGAAGCACAAGAATCACTTGAACCCAGGAGGCAGAGGTTGCAGTGAGCTGAGATCACGCTACTGTACTCCATCCTGGGCAAAGTGAGAGTCTGTCTCAAAAAAAAAAAAAAGGATATTTAAGGAACAGATATATGGAATAAGTATGTTCAGAGAATTGGAAATAAAGGTATTTTTTCCAGCATGAGTTTTTATTATAGTTGTAGTTGCTTATTCCCTGAACATGATTTGCTTCATGCAGTTCACTAAAATGCAGTTAGGAGATCACATTCTTTCCAAGGGTGGAAGAAAAACTGTTATGTTGCAGGCCACACTGCTGCTTTGTTTTAATGGCTTTGTGCTTTATTTATTGTAACAATGGACAATAAGGGTCATAAGAATATGTTAGTGCCTCTGAGATAACAATAGTGTTGATGCTGAAGGAAGAAGAAAGGCCACACTTTTAACAAAAATTAGATGTTTTAAATGTAAAGTATACTTAAATGATTAGGTTTTATATCAATACCCTTTGTAAGTGGGATTGCCTCCACAGCTTGACCTTATTAGCCCTAAGTAGTTTCTTCCAAAACTACTGTAACCCACCAAATTATCTGAGAATTTTTCCCATCAACACCTTAATCAAACCATCTTCTACCAAGTATGTTTACAGCTGGAGTAAAGTCTGATCAGTTCATTACTGCTGTTTCAGTTGCTATGGGGAGTTTAAAACCAGTGCTTTTACAGTCCAACAGTAGCTGCTGTTCTATTGTTAATATAAACTCAAGTAGGTAAGCACTTGGGGTTCCTTGCAGCAAGATAGCACCATTCCTGCACTACTAGGCTCCATCAGAAGACTGCTTATAGTGCTCAGCCCTTCCAGTCCATACACGGAGCCACTTTCCAGGAATCAGTGAGTCCAAACCTTTGTCTCCTTTCCCTCCCCCGGGGCTTATATCTAGGGGTTGGGTAATTTTTCTTTTTGAACTTTGAAACTCAAAGAGTCTGATTTCTCCCCTGCTTTGGACAGTAGAGCCAACCATTTACCCCACCACCCTTCTGAAAGTGTCCGCATGTGAACAAAGCTTCGATTAGATGGGCCACTTTCAGTGATTCTAAAATGATTGTCTGGCATCTCTTTGAGTAAAGAAAATGTAAGGCTTCTCAGTGCACTTAGGGCTAAAAAAAGAAAATAAAACTAAACCAACTTGAGTGCTGACATTCTTGCAGGAAAAAATTTTAAATTATACGTCTAGTACTCTCCAGCCCCTAACTCTGTCCATGGAGGGGAGAGGGAAGTTTATAAAATACAAAATTTAGAAAATTTAAAAACCATGACATTTCTTAAGATCTTGGATCTCAAATTATAGTAAAGTAAGTTGAGTTTAAGAAAATGAAGAGTATAAGTTTGATTAGGGATGGAGGGTGAGAGGAACTTGCCAGATGGGTCATATCATAATGGGCTTTATATTCTTTGCAAAAACAATTGGATTTTATCTTGTAGTCAGTGGGGAGCAAATTAAAAGATTTCAAGCAGTGTGTATTCTAGAAAGATCACTGTGGGATAGGTGGCTGGCAGGGGCAGGGGATGGGAGGATGAAGAAAAGTTGGTTAATGGGTACAAACAGTTAGATAGAAGACAATATTATATTTCAAAGTAACTAGAAGGGAGGACTTGAAATGATACCAACACATAGAAATTATAATTACTCAGTTTGATGGGTACTTCAGATATCCTGACTTGATTATTACACATTCTATGCATGTCCAAACAGTCATATCTACTTCATAAATATGTAAAGTATCTCGTGTCAATAAAAGAAAAACACATAGAGAGATTTTTTTTAAAAAAATTACTGTGCAAGCAGTGTAGTTGAAGGTGGACGCCTGAAGGAACTGAGGAGCTAGGTTGGTTTTCTGTGCTTTAGTTGTCTGGGCAAGAGATATGAAGGACCCTAGCTTAAAGCAGTAAGAACTGGGAATGGAGAGGAACCAAATATGATAAAGAGGGTGGAATAAATAGGATGCTATGAGTGAGGGAACGAAGAGGATGTTGAAGATCATACTCTTCCTAAATTGACTCTGGCCAGATAATTGTATCATTTGCCAGCATGGGGAATAAAAAGAAAGGAGCAGGTTTGGGGGAAATTACAAGCTTAGTTTTAGACATGTCACATTGAATTAATTTTAAGATTATCCAGAATAATCGTGGGTAAAAAAAGATGTTGATATTTTTTGCTTTTCACTATGGCGAAGAGTTTCTGATAATTATATTTGCATCTGGCCTGTTAAATAAATTATTGTCTAAAGTAACTGTTCTTTCTGTAATTTTCCTTGATGCAATAGTTATTTTAAATGGAGTAGCAATGTTGCTTTTGTCTTTTTTTTTTTTTTAACCTTTTTTGTATATGCCGTTTTCAGTTACAGTTTATTTGGGCACAAGTTTATGGAGAAATCTCCCTTAAACCAGGTTTCATGAATATTTCTTTTGGAATAGAGTTTCTTATCTTATAATTAGGCTATTCAAAATGAAGCAGTTTAAAAATGTTGCCACAGACCCTGATTAGAAAATAAATATTTTGTTAAAATTGAGAAATAACCTGCAAAGAAAAGTCTGGAGGGTTGTTTTCCCCCAGAAGTTGTACACTAAATGATTTATTTTTGTGTTTGTGCTTAATATCCCAAAGTTGTGGGAGTCAGTGAAGCCTACGAGGATGCCGCCAATTGTCTCTGGTTATTAACTAACTCCAAGCCTTGTGCCAACTGTAAGTCTCCAATACAGAAGAATGAAGGCTGCAATCACATGCAGTGTGCTAAGGTATGACGTTAAAGAGGATTTTGCATGCTTTACATTTGGAATCTTAATTTAGTTTGACTGTCAATCCAAAGGATAAATTATTTGAGGAGGCCTGGTGCAGTGGCTCTTGCCTATAATCCCAGCACTTCAGGAGGTTGAGGCAGGAGGATCGCTTGAGGCCAGGGGTTCAAGACCAGCCTGGGGAAAATACCAAAACCCCATCACTTCAAAAACAAAAACAATAAAAAGGTAAGCATAAGGAATTTATGGTATTCAACCAGAAGATCAGAAATTCATGAATCCTCCCTGGCTAGTCACCTTCCCCAGTGAGAGTCTTGAGAGAGCTCTGTGTGTGTGTGTGTGTGTGTGTGTGTGTGTATGTGTATATATATCAAATGATTAACAAAGTGCTGCCTTATATAGATCTCTTGCAAAGCTATACCGCTTAGACTGAAGGCCCAAACTAGGCCCAAATTCAGTCCATACACTGTCTCCATACAATTGGCTCTCTGTATCAATGGGTTTCATGTTGTTGGGTTTGCATTCATGGATCAAAAATACTTAGGGGTAAAAAGTGCATCTGTATTGAACATGTACAGATTTTTTTTCATGTCATTATTCCCTAAACAATGCAGTATAACAACTATTTATATAGCATATATGTTGTAAGATATTATAAGTAATCTAGAGATTATTTAAAGTATGTGGAGGATATGCATAGGTTAGTATGCAAATAATGCGCCATTTTATATCGGGTACTTGATTATTCTCAGATTTTGGTGTTTGCAGGTCTTGGAACCAATTCTTTGTGGATACTAGGGAACACCTGTATGTAGATGTCTGTAAAATACAAGAACTCAAAGCAGTGTCCAGACTTTAGGTCTGCTAATAAAACCACCAGTTAAACAAGTAACTCTTTATTATACTGAAAATGAAAATGCCAACAAAGATTCACTTGGCTGAAAAATACTTAATATAAATGATTAATGTTAGAGGTCCAAATGCTAGATGGAATAAATACCCTCTTAGTTGTGCAGGAAGAAACAGCAGTGTGTTTAAAACCAATATGCTGATGTGTTATTAATAACATTTTATTAATCCATACCTACCTACATTTATGAACATTTTTTCTTTAAAATTACATTGATAGTCTGTGGTTTTGTTTTTTTTTTTTTGCTTTATCATTGGAGATGTCATGTATGTATAAAATGATTATTTAAAGTTATTGAGAGGAAAATGTAATTTTTTTCTAATTTAGGACATGAAGGAAACTTAAATGGTTAAGATTCCAGTAAAATATAATAATATCTTCTAGGTATTAATTGATTTTTAACCTTGAAACTTAATAATTATTACTATACTTGCAAAAGAATCGCAGTTACAAAATAATTTTTATAAGTCTATATTACTGTAAAATTAACATAAATGAATTGGCTTATTGAGGCAGTAATAATGATTCTGTATAAAGATGTATAAAGAACTATAGAATGACCATAAAAATTCGTAATTGGCTGCTGAGACAGACTCCAATATTATCTTTATTTCCTGCATAGCACCTACTGGTAGTAAATACTTAATAAATACATATTGCATTCCTGAATGTTTACATGAATTAATCAGGCTGATAATATTAGGTAATCCAACCTAAATAGACTTTGCTTAAGCTTCTATTGCACTGAAAAGAAATATTTACTTACATACTCTGTAAATGTAGTTGTTGTATTTATTATACCATCTGAAATGTTTGCATTGAACAATAAAACCTGAAAAGTAGCATTCTTATTATGACACAGAAGACTTATGTAGAAAATATGTTACTGTAGCAAAATCATATGTACTATTTTTTTTAAGTGTGTAGGTGACACACAGCATGTCATGTGTAATGGAATCCATCCTCTGACATAATTGTTAAATCATAACATACTTTTATTAGTTCCTCAGCTTTGATTATGTATGATTTGGTAGGCAGTTTTTACTTTCGAAATCAAATGTGTTTTTAAAGAATGAGAAATTTCATTCCCTAAAAATAAGCTTGTTTATTTTAAAACACTTTTTAAAATTTCCCTTTAGATAATTTAAATTATTGCATTCTTAAATCTTTTAAATCACTTACAGTATCTGATTCTGTGTAACTGTATGATACAACTAAAAAAAAAAAAAGAGTTTTTTTCCATTATAAACTGTAGAATAGTTAAATACCGTAATTGCTAAGGTATATCTGACCGCTGTGTAATTAAACTCTATACCAAAACTAAAAATTCACCATTGATGATAAAAGAAAAACCTATGAACTTGACAGCATGGTAGAATATGGCAAAAAATAAAAATTAAGAAAATAAAAACCTTAACATTCCAGAAAATAGAGAATAATACAAATAACATTCTCTGATCATAAGGGAATAAAATAGAAATTAAGGCCAGGCATGGTGGCTCACACCTGTAATCCCAGCACTTTGGGAGGTTGAAGCAGGTGGATCACCTAAGGTCAGGAGTTTGAGACTAGCCTGGCCAACATGGTAAAACCCCATCTCTACTAAAAGTACAAAAATTAGCTGGGCATGGTGGCAGATTCCTGTAAGCCCAGCTACTGGGGAGGCTGAGGCAGGAGAATCACTTGAACCTGGGAGGCTATAGAACTTTCAAAATTAGAATCAGTTCTCTCAAACCCTGCCACTGCTTTATCAGCTGTTTATGTAATATTCTATTCTTTGTTGTCATTTCAACAGTGTTTACAAAGTCTTCACCAGGAGCAGATTCTATCTCAAGAAACTGCTTTCTTTGCTTATCCATAACAAACAAGTGAGCTGAGATTGTGCCATTGCACTCCAGCCTAAGCAATAAGAGTGAAACTATGTATCCAAAAAAATAGTAAAGTTACAAGATGTCTTTTGGAAATTTTAAATATCAACTCCTCAGTAAGAAAGGAAATAAAAATGGGCATTGAAGAATTTTTAAAACAAGGGTAATGAAAATACTACTTATCAGAACCTGAGGGCCATAGCTAAAGCAATGCTGAGAAATATGGATCACCTTATTTACTTAAACTAATACAGAATAAGGAATGAGTTAAGAGTATGACTCAATTTTTTTTTTTTTTTTTTTTTTGAGATGGAGTCTTGCTTTGTAGCCCAGGCTAGAGTACAGTGGCTCGATCTTGGCTCACTGCAACCTCCGCCTCCTGGGTCCCAGTTCAAGCAATTCTCTTACCTCAGCCTCCCAAGTAGCTGGGATTACAGGCACTAGCCACCATGCCCAGCTAATTTTTTTTTTTTTTTTTTTTTTTTTTTTGTATTTTTGTATTTTTCAGCAGAGACGGGGTTTCACCATGTTGGCCAGTCTGGTCTTGAACTCCTAGCCTTGTGATCTCCCTGCCTTGGCCTCCCGAAGTGCTGGGATTATAGGTGTGAGCCATTGTTCCTGGTCTACTCAAAAATTTAGAAAAAAAAATAAACTTGAAAACCAGGAGGAAGGTTCTGGTTTGTTTGTTTGTTTGTTTGTTTGTTTTTTAAGGCAGAAATCAGTGACTTTATAACTGAAAATGCAACTAATAAATCCAAAAAGTGATTTTCTTAACAAAAAATAGATAAACCACTAAGCTAACATAATCAAGAAAAAAAATGAAGGTGAAGGAATTCAAAGACACGAGATAGAGAATAAGGGAAATACAGGCATAACTCAGAGATACTGTGGTTCAATTCTAGATCACTGCAATAAAGCAAATATCACAGTGAAATAAATCACATTTTTTAATTTCCCACCTCATAGAAAAATTTAACTGTAAACTCACACTGTCTGTTAAATGTGCGATAGCATAACACATTTTTATTTTAAAATGCTTTATTACTGAAAAATGCTAACTATTATCTGAGCCTTCAGTGAGTCATAATCTTTTTGCTGGTGGAGAGTCTTGCCTCAGTGTCGATGCTACTAACTGAACAAAGTGGTGGTTACTGAAGGTTTAGTTGGCTGTGGCAATTTCTTAAAATAAGACAATGAAGTTTGCTGCATTGGTTGACTGCCTTTCACAATATATTTCTTTATAGCATGTGATACTGTATTACAGAATTTGACCTCCAACAGAACTTTCAAAATTAGAGTCCGTTCTCTCAAACCCTGCCACTGCTTCATCAGCTGTTTATGTAATATTCTACTCTTTGTTGTCATTTCAACAGTGTTTACAAAGTCTTCACCAGGAGCAGATTCTATCTCAAGAAACCACTTTCTTTGCTTATCCGTAAGAAACAACTTTTATCCAATTCAAGTTTTATTATGAGATTGTAGCAATTCAAGCACATCTTCAGGCTGCACTTGAAGTTCTTGTGCTGTTTCTACCACATCTGCAGTTACTTTTTCCTCTGAAGATTTGAACTCCTCAAAGTCATCCATGAGGGTGGGAATCAACCTTTTCCAAACTCCTGTTCATGTTGATATTTTTACCCCCTCCCATGAATCACAAATGTTCTTAATGGCATCTAGAATGGTGAATCCTTTCCATAAGAGTTTCCATTTACTCTGCCTAGATCTATCAGAGGAATCACCATCTGTGGCAGTTTCAGCCTTACAAAATACATTTCTTAAATAATAAGACTTGAAATTCAAAATTACTGCTTAATCCATAGGCTGCAGAATGGATGTTGTGTTAGCAGACATTAAAACAACATTCATTTCCTTGTACATCTCTATCAGAGCTCTTAGATGACCATGTGCATTGTCAATGAGCAGTAGTATTTTAAAATGAATGTTTTTTTCTAAGTAATAGCTCTCAACAGTGGGCTTACAATATTCAGTAAACCATGCTGTAAACAGATGTGCTGCCATCCAGGCTTTGTTGTTCCATTTAGAGAGCACAGGCAAAGTAGATTTAGCATAATTCTTGAGGGCCCTACAATTTTGAGAATGGTAAATAAGCATTGGCTTCAACTTAAAGTCACCAGCTGTATTAGCCCATAACAAAGGAGTCAGCCTGTTCTTTGAAGCTTTGGAGCCAGACATTGACTTCTCTCTAGCTATAAAAATCCTAGATGGCACTGTCAGAAGGTTGTTTCATGTACTTTGGAAATCTGTTGTTTAATGTAGCCACTTTCATCAATGATCTTAGCTGGATCTTCTGGATAATTTATCACAGCTTCTGTATCAGCACTTTCTGCTTCACCTTGCACTTTTATGTTATGGAAATGGCTTCTTTCCTTAAACCTCATGAACCAATGTCTGCTAGCTTAAAATTTTTCTTCTGCAGGTTCTTTATGTCTCTCTGTCTTCATAGAACTGAAAAGAGCTAGGACCTTGCTCTGGATTAGTATTTGGCTTAAGGGAATGTCATGGCTCATTTGATCTTCCATCCAGACCACTCAGATTTTCAACATATCAACAATAAGCCTGTTTCTTTTGCTTATCATTCATATGTTCACTGGAATAGCACTTTAACTTTCCTTCAAGAACTTTTGCTTTACATTCACAATTTGGCTAAGTGGCACAAGAGGCCTAGTTTCAGCTTATTTTGGCTTTTCAACATGCCTTCCTCACTAAGCTTAATCATTTCTAGCATTTGATTTAAAGTGAGAGATGTAAGACTCTTCCTTTCACTTGAACACTCAGAGGCAACCTTATAGGATTCTTAATTGGCCTAATTTTAATATTGTTGTGTCTTAGGGATTAGGGAAGCCCAAGGAGAGTGAGAGACAGAGGTAAGAGAATGGCCAGTCAGTGAAGTGGTCAGAACACATACAACATTTATCTATTAAGTTTGCCATCTTATATGGGCATGGTTCATGGTGCCCCCCCAAATATTAAAATAGTAACATCAAAGATCATTGATCATAGATTACCAAAACAGATATAATAATTTAAGAGTTTGAAACATTATGAGAATTACCAAACTGTGACACAGACAAGCAGTGAACACATGCTGTTGGAAAAATGACCAGTAGAGTTGCTTGATCAGGGTTGCCACAAAGTTCAGTTTGTTTAAAAAACAAAAACAAAACACAGCATCTGTGATGCATAATACAGCAAAGTGCAATGAAACAAGGTATGCCTGTAATCAAAGAAACAAAGCAAACTAAAATAATAAGGAATAATTTCATTCAGTTCTTCCACATATTTTCAACTTGGATTTGAAGTAGATTGACTTTCTAAGACAGTATTATTTATTAAAAGTGATCCTAGAAGAGATAGAATATTCCCAAAAAACCCATTCCCATAGAAGGGAAAAAAAGTTTTTCAAAACTCTCCCATACCTTATACTAACACTTAAAGCAATGGGCCCTGATAATTTTACGACAGAATTTTACCAGACCTTTAAGGAGCTGGTAATTCTAATGTTATTTAAACTCTTCTTGAGAGTTTAAAAAAAAAAAAAAAAACTTTCAGATTATTTTTATAAAGTGAGTAGAACCTTGATACCTGCTTGACAAGATTATAAAAACTAAAAGAAAACTGTGGATTATTCTTACTTATAAATAACACTATAGAAGTCCTAAATATTACAGGGATAAAACTATACAAATACTAGCAATAATCCAGCAGAGCACATTCATAAGTAATTAACCAAGTAAGAGTTTATTCCAGGAAGACAGGTTGAGTGTTGCTCATCTAGAATGCTTGGAACTGGAAGTGTTAACGATTTCAGAATTTTTTTTTTTCATTTTGAAATATTTACATTTGACCAATTGAGCACTCCTAATCCACAAATTTACAATCCATGTCAGTGCTCAAGAAGTTTTGGATTTTGGAGCAGTTACGATTTCTGATTTTTAGATTAGGGATGCTTCAACCTGTATAAGAAGGGTTCAATATTAGGAAAGCTGATGTTGTACCTCATGTTATTGATAGATCCAAAGGGAAAAAATTACATATTTTCTATAGCTCCTGAAAAGGTATTTGACCAAAAACAAACAAACAAACCATTCCATATAAAACACTCAAATAAATAGAGTAGATTCTTTCTTAGTATGATAAAAATAATTACCTCAGTTCAAAAGCTAGCATATTTAGTGGGGGAAACTAGAGTCATTCCCACTAAATTCAAAAATAAGATGAAGATATTTTCCATCACTAATGAAGATACCAGTCAACATAATTAGATAACAGAAAGAGACTAACGATATAAAAATTAGAAATGAGATGATAAAATTACCACTTTTTGCAGATGGCATGATTGTATACCTAGAAAATTTACAAAAATCAACTGAAAAACTGCTACAAACAAAAATTCAGTTGAGTAGCAGAGTACGCAATTACTGTGCAGAAAGTAATAACCTTCATGTGTATCAACAACAATCAGATTGAATACTGAAAGACTTCATTTATCTGGGAATAAATTTAACAAATATGCAAGACTTATGGGAAAAAAATATAAACTGTCTCTCTGTAGGTCACAAAAGATTACAAACAGATGGAAAGACGACCAAGTTCTTAGAAAGATTCCATCAAAAATAGCAATAGGTTTTGTTTCTGAATCTGAGTAAACTAATTCAAAAGTTTATTTGGCAGGGCCAAAGGGAAGCAAGAATAGGAAGTCTGATAAAGAGCAGTTAGGGGGAACTAGCCTTGTCAAATAGCCATATTATGAAGCCTCAGACAGTGTGGTACTGGCACATGAAACAGAATATGAAGAAAGCCTAGAATGTAGACACAGATATATGGGAATCCAGTATGTGGTAAAGGTGGCATCTACAACCAGTGGAGAAACATGAGCTATTTAAATGATATAATGACTACTGGGCAGCTGTGTGAGAAAGAATAAAGTTGAATTCATACTGTATCCTATATAGTAAGATAAATTACAAATGACTCAAAGATAAAGTTACTTTAAAAAATAAAATAAACCATAAGAGTACCTGAAGACAACATAGAATGGGAAGATCTTTTTAACTGATTCAAAATCCATAAGCATAAAAAAGGATATATTTTCATACGGAATGCCCATATTTTTGGCACTGTCCAATAATTATGGTAATCAAGTAAGTGAAATTTACTTTAAAATGGGAAACTGTTTTTGTATCAGCTGTTTCACTTAGAGGTCTTTTCAGCGTATTTCTAGTTTCGAAACCAATTTTTCAAAATTGCCAGAAGTTTTTCAAATAGGCTGGTGGAGCTTTATAGACCAATGTCAGATTAGAACGTACTTAAAAATGAAACACTTGTCAGTATCTGTTATTATTTGTAAAGAATATCCTATTGATATTTTTAATGATTCCTTGTGATTACCTCATTATGTTATGCTTTACATTTTAATACATCCCTATAAGCAATAATTTTAAACTACCCCCACATCTTTCCATAATGCAGAAAGGTCTTCAGAGGAAACATGAGAAAGAGGACATGTCTTTAAGAAGATTTATTCCTGGTCACACCCTCAGGATTGTTTAATCTTTACAGATTGGTTAGCCATAAAGCAGAAAGTAATTTGCATATTAATATGGGGAGATGTTTTCATATATATTTTCTTTTGAAGTGCAAGTATGACTTTTGCTGGATTTGCCTAGAAGAGTGGAAAAAACATAGTTCTTCCACTGGAGGTTATTACAGATGTACTCGCTATGAAGTCATTCAGCATGTGGAGGAGCAATCCAAGGAAATGACTGTGGAGGTAAAGCGAACCAATTAAGCCAAGACCTCTCTCTAAGCTGCTCACTGCCACTGGAATTATTTTGCATTTCTTCTTTTTTCTGTTTTTCATCTTAATGAGGTATTGAATTGAATATACTATATAATAGCCTTTAACTTCAACAAAAATAGCTCTGTAAACTTGACAGTTTTGTCCCTTTTCCATTTTCCATTTTTTATTTTGGTGAAGACATATATGAAAAGTCTGATACATCCCAGCCTATCTCTGCAAAGACTTAAAAACAATTTTAATATTAATATCAACAATGCAATATTACATTATACTATACAGTAAGTATCTTAGTCTGCTCATTTGCCATAGAAAATAACACAGACTGGGTGGCTTAAACAACAGAAATTTATTTCTCAGAGTTCTGGAGGTTGTGAAGTCCAAGGTCAAGGTGCTGGCCAATTTGGTTCTTGAGGAGGGCACTCTTCTTGGCATGCAGACAGCCACCCTCTCACTATGTCCTCTGGTGGCCAGAAAAGACAGAGACCAACCTCTGGTATCCCTTCCACTTCTTATAAGGGTACCAGCCCTATTAGAATAGTGCCCCACCCCGATGACCTTATTTAACCTTTCTCACAGGTCCTATCTTCAAATACTGTCACAATGGGGATAGGGCTTCAAAATAATGAATTTTAGGGGGATACCATTAATCCATAGCAAAAAGCCACATAATAAAACACTGAAGGCCAGGCACGGTGGCTCATGCTTGTAATCCCAGCACTTTGGGAGGCCAAGGCAGGTGGATCACTTGAGGTCAGGAGTTCAAGACCAGCCTAGCCAACGTGGTGAAACCCCATCTCTACTAAAAATACAAACATTAGCTGGTCATGGTGGTGGGCTCCTGTAATCCCAGCTACTGAGGAGGCTGAGACAAGAGAATAGCTTGAACATAGGAGGCGGAGGTTGCCACGCACTGAGATTGCACCACTGCACTCCAGCCTTGGCAACAGAAGAAAACTCTGTCTCAGAAAAAAAAAAAAAAAATGGAGATTAGAAGGCTTCTTTGCCTTAGACTCTGGGACTTTGGATTCAGGGATTTGTCACAGGATACAAATGGAAGACTTTGTTCTGAGAGCCTTTAAGATGTATTGTTTTCTGTCAAGAAAATAATTCACAAATATGAATGCACTACTACCTGTCACTAATAAAACTTTTAAATGATCCCCCCAAAGAAATTATTTTAGTAGCTACTAGTTTTTGTAAAAGTCATTTGTGGACTTTTGTTTTCTAGGCTGAGAAAAAACACAAACGATTTCAGGAACTTGACAGATTTATGCACTATTATACAAGATTTAAAAATCATGAGCATAGTTATCAGGTATGTCCCAAATCATTTCAAATGAGCAGACTTCTACTGTTGTGAATAAAAGAGAATGGTTTAAATTATTTATTTCTATTCTTTTAGTTAGAACAACGCCTTCTTAAAACAGCCAAAGAGAAGATGGAACAATTGAGTAGAGCTCTCAAAGAAAGTAAGTTATAAGTTGTATGTATGATAATTGATATAAAATATTCTTCCATGCTGTCACTGCACTAGTAGGTTAGATCCTGAAAGGAATACATTATGTCCATTAGCTTGTTCTGGTACTGTTTTAAGTTCTCTGAAGCCCTGAATGCAGCTTATCAGATGAGGCTTCTCTGATTGGATTTTCTACCCAGCACCTAGCCTCCTCCTCTTGATGCACTGTTACAAGATAAAAACAATTCATGATTTTGCTTACTCTGTGTCACTACTGATGCTCTACAGTGTTGGGAGAGTAGATGAGTCCTAAAGGGCATAACTGACTTAGTCAGAGGAGCAAGATACACGTGCTACCCAATTGTCATGTAACTGAATACCCAAAAATTTTTGAGAAAATTTAGCAGAGTGCTTAAGGGTGTGGAAGTCTGTAATAGTTTGGGGAGAAATCATTTCACTGGTAAATAATGAACATTGGGGTAAAAAAGCAAAGAAAGCCATGAGGAGGAGCTAACATGTGGGGCCCAAATTTTAAGTTATAAAAGAATATTCCAAAATATGGATTGAGTGTTGGTAGCATTAAAATATAATAACCCACAGTGACTACACAGAGTACAGGTTCTGGTGTTTTGTTTTTTTAAAGTCACCTTTTAAAAATAATAGCTTACACATGAAAAGTACATTTTAAGGTGAAAAATGTGATGTTATACTTGGGTTGCTCCAATTTATTAAAATAATGAGTACTAAAATCCTTTTCATTAGGATAATTCTCTAATCAAGACAGTATCATAAATTAAATAGAATGGGGGAGAAAATGTCAATAGCAGTGTAGCCTGCTTGTTATGTTAGTTCTTAGACTTCATTAATGATATAACTATATTAGGCAATATCAAACTCCTGAAGTATTGTCCACAGTAAAAATTGAGAGGAAAAAAATCTTCACAGCCATACAACTCTTCAGCAGGGATTTTTGTCTGGTCATTAATGCATCCCTAGTGCTTCCAACTGTGCCTGACACTTGAAAACATTCAGCATTTGTAGATGCTTATTGCTTCTATTCAACATTCTGGAGGTTTCAGGCAACATAATGAAATAGGGAAAAATATGAAAATATACAGCAGTTGTAAAGGAAGAAACAAAACTTCGCACATTTCTCACATACGTCAGAAATCTCAGGGTAATCTATATTTCAGTTTGTGTACACACACTATTAATTTCTATCTACAGGCATCCAGAATAATTAGATTTTCAACAGTACCTGCAAATTTAGACTCTCATGCTTAATTTCTATGTTTTTCTTTCTTTCTTTTTCAGTTAAACAGAAACCTAGAATGTTATAATGACGTTCTTAGAAGAGTCTCAGATATTAAGGCAATTTTCTCTTCATCTTCCTCATTCTTCCTTCCTTTCTTTCTTTCTCTGAAGTTTTTTATTAACTAGCGTTAGTTATCTAGTTGTTCGCCAGAATATTGTATCTTTTTCTTTACAGTATTGATTTTGCATAATTAGGCTTTTTTTTTTTTTTTTTTTAGTAAGCAACTTAGAAAAGGCATTTGTTCTCATTTTTAAGCAGGGAAATTCTGCTAGGGATTATCTGAAAAACTTAGTAAAGCCTAGAACCTTTTGGCTAACATAAAGCTAGACTTGCTTATCAATGGAGTGAGACCAGAATCCAAGATGAGTATGTGCATTCCTTTATGACTACCATCAGTGCTCCTGGGCTGCTGGGGCATATGTTTCTTTTATACACACATTCATGTCACACATGAGTATTTTATGTACGTTTTTAGTTTGGTTCAAATAAGTATTTTCATACAGTTACTTAAAACAGTTTTTGTCCTAACGATCCTTCTTTTTTCTTTTTGGAGAAAAAAATAATTGTTTGATTAATATCATAAATAGCATATTTGCAAAACAACTTCACTGTGCCTCAATTACTTTTTAGCTGAAGGAAGCTGTCCAGATACCACTTTCATTGAAGATGCAGTTCATGTGCTCTTAAAAACTCGGCGCATTCTCAAGTGTTCTTATCCATACGGATTTTTCTTGGAACCTAAAAGCACAAAGAAAGAAATTTTCGAACTAATGCAAGTAAGATATTTTTTAATTACATTTAAATGACAGCAGTTATTAGGAAAAACTGAGTTTTTCTTTTTTCAAACCACTTGTTTTATTTAATGTGGGTGTGATTAGTAAAACAATTTTCTTTTCATTTTTTAAATGGTTTTTAAATAAAGGAAAAGTTACCAGTAATAAACTGAAATTTTCTTTCTGTTTAAATCTGTCACTCTTCAGGTCTGAATGACTTATGAGTGATACAAACATTTGCTATAGCATTTACGTATGTCTTTTAAACTAGTTCAGATTTGAAATCAGATATATTTCTGATGATGTAATTAAGAATTTTATCATCAAAATGAAACAAGCCACATTACATACAAGATGAGAAATTTGCTGTTTACCAGCTTTTTCAAAAAATCAACTGAAAAAGTTATAGTATTTAAAAAACAAAAACACCTAAGCCAACTGGCATCACTATAGCTAAATAACTTCATTGTACATTTCCTTTCTTTTGAAGCCAAACTAAACTTTTTCTTGTTACAGTTTTCATGTCATCCCTTTGAACTGTCCTCTGCTAATTTATATCCTACATTTCATCAAGGCTCAGTATTTATTTTCTCCATAAACTCTTCCAGACTTGCCCTGATTACTGTAGTCTTGCCGTGATTCAAATTCCTTCAGCACTTTTATATAATCTGCACCATGGCATCATGCATTTGCTTGTATAGTGCATTGAAATGTATTCACTTTTTTCACATAAACAAATTATAAATTCCTTGTAGACAGCTGCTATACTCACTACTACTTTGTAATCTATACCAATTTCATTTCTGTAAATGCCTATCAGATGAGTGCTATTTTTAAAATTTTTTTTTTTTTTTTTTGAGACGGAGTTTCGCTCTTGTTACCCAGGCTGGAGTGCAATGGCGCGATCTCGGCTCACCGCAACCTCCGCCTCCTGGGTTCAGGCAATTCTCCTGCCTCAGCCTCCTGAGTAGCTGGGATTACAGGCACGCACCACCATGCCCAGCTATTTTTTTTGTATTTTTAGTAGAGACGGGGTTTCACCATGTTGACCAAGATGGTCTCGATCTCTTGACCTTGTGATCCACCCGCCTCGGCCTCCCAAAGTGCTGGGATTACAGGCTTGAGCCACCGCGCCCGGCCTATTTTTTAAATTTTACATGATTTTATATACAATCCCTCTTCTCTTTTATAATCTAGAAAACATGTACAAAATAGAAAATACATGACATAGAAAGTTATTTCAAAATTTGACCTAGTTTCTTCAAAACAGTAATGAGAAACCACATAGACTCTGGATTTGCTATTGATTAACCTATGAAACCTGTGATCTTTTTTTTTTCCTCTGCTTACTATAGACAGACCTAGAAATGGTCACCGAAGACCTTGCCCAGAAAGTCAATAGGCCTTACCTTCGCACACCCCGCCACAAGATCATCAAAGCAGCATGCCTTGTTCAGCAGAAGAGGCAAGAATTCCTGGCATCTGTGGCTCGGGGAGTAGCTCCTGCAGACTCACCAGAAGCTCCAAGACGCAGGTAAAAAGGATGTACACTGTGGAAATCATCCCCTCTCCAGCCACAAATGCCAGCAGTTTTATGTTTTTATCCAATTAAGTTTCATATTCCTGGAAAGAAATTACACCTAAAATATGGATAGCTGATAAAAATCTTTTCTCGTGATTTTTTTTCCCATACTATTTCTGTTTTTTATTATTTTTTATTTGTTTATCAGGTAGTGCCTCAGACTAAATTAACCTAGGTTAATTTCACATTTCAAGTGAACTCATAATTAAGAGTATTCTAATTCGTCATTTCTTTTTTTATTTTGTTTTGTTTTTAGAGTGAACATGATTGCTAGTCATTTCAAGTATGTAATATATGTTGTGATTTGATAGTTATAAACTTCTTATGATGCAGAATTTGGAAACTTTGCCAACTTGTTATGGTCATATTTGTATTTTTGTGTAAAGAAGTTGTGAAGGAAAGAGAAATTTGATATTCCTAGTTATTTAAGTGATCCAAACTCACCCACTAAAGATCAGTTGAGTTATGGTTGTTTTATTTTACATACTTATACTACTTCTGTAAATTGAGGCATACTTTCCTATTTATAATAATTATAAACATTAAACATTCCTTTGGCACTGTTTTACATACATTCCTTTGATCCATTTTTTTACTTAATATTTAGGAGTAAACATATATTTGTAAAATAAAAATAGAAGCAGTTATAAACTACTTTGTTATAGTAATTTTTATTTTTTGATCACTTTACACAAACATAAAAACTTAGAATTTGAAATAAATAATGAAATTATCATTTTAATTCTGTTTTAATAGTTGATCTACCTTGGTTAAGCAAGTTCCAACAGAGGAATTCAAAGTAATGTTCAAAGGGCAAGGATCTGATTGTGTATACTTTGTAGTACTGATATTAAATCAAATGGTATGTTTAATTTCTTTGTAGCTTTGCTGGTGGAACATGGGATTGGGAATATTTAGGATTTGCATCACCAGAGGTAATTGTTTTATGGGGTTTTTGTTTTGTATTTTTTCTTAGTGCAATTGTGCTTGCATTTGCATCCTTATCTATTCTAAATCCTACTCAGGTTATCAGCAATGCCCTCTCTTTCTTTTGTAACTAAAATGCCTTGACAGAGCCTACATTTAGCTATTTATGTGGTATTGGTATATCATCACGTTGTTAAATGCATTACTCTTTTATTGTTTTTAATTACTGAATAGTCAGAATTAAGACAAATTTACGATACACATTTTTGAAAAAATCTTCTAATTTGTTAATAATTTCATTTATTAGAAATGCATTTCTAGTTATAATATTGTTTTAGTCTGAAACTATTAAAAATATAAAAGAACAATCTGTTTTTTAAAGTTAATGCAACGACCTGAGGGAATTGATTTATGATCAGTTGCTAAAGTGGAAAACTTGACATTAATAATGTGTATGCAGAAAGAAGTGCTTTGCTTGGTTGCTTTCTGCTTATCTGTAAGACTTTCACACTCTTCTTTTTTGTTGTTGTTGTCATTAATTTACTGTTTTAAAATACAGAAGGTCTGGATTACACTGCAGATAGCAGTTGTGGCAAATAAAAATAAGACAGAGTAAAACTCTTAATCACAGAACTGTTTTCTGAGATTTAAATTGCCACTGTCACTGTTGAGTCTAATTTTAAAATGGTTTTAGCAGTTCTCTGTACTTCTCTCTTTCCATCCTTGCTCTTTATTAAACAGTATTTGATGCCTATATTATGATAACCCTTCAACTTAATTTTTTGAAGGGGACAGGACAAATGATAACACCTTTGTTTGTAATGTATAACCCATTTGTTATCTGCAACTGAAAGACAATGAAATTTATTATCCAGGCATGACTGTGGCTTATTTAAATCGGATACTTTCTCTTTTCAGTTGCTCAAGATACTTGCAATCACCTGTGGCTTTTGTGTTGTTAGATACATCCAAGAAAATACTGACTTGAAAAAGAAATTGTGCTTAGAACTCTGATCTGGAAATTTTAAATTCACTTAAATTGTTTAAAATTGTGATATATTAATGAAATTTTTATTTTTAAAAAGTGAACCTTTTTCTTTATCTGATCCTGTACTATTATTATTTCTATTTTGTAATATATTTACAGCTTCAGGGATATTGTGGCAAATTTCCACCTAAAAGGAAGAATAAGCAAACTGAAATTATTGAAAAAAAAAAAAAAAAAAAAAAACTAATGATTTCAGTATTTTAAGGTAAAAACACAATTTAGCAAAAATAAAACCTTCAGTGTATTCATAATCATGTATGTGTATCATCTTAAAGCTTCTGTGTCTGACAGGAACTTTAGGAATTCTGAAATATTTGTCTTTGAATATTGAGGGCCTACCAATATGACTGTCACTTTATCTTTTATGAATTGATAATTTTTTAGAAATTATTTACTTTTAGTTTTCTTTAGTCTTTAACATATTGAAACACTTGGCTTTTTTGTAAACCTTATTGCAGATATAAAGAATTACTACACATTGTGAGACTTTCAAATTCTGCATGTGTACGACTATCAAGTAACTGCTAAAATTATATTTTTTAAAAATAGCTCTTTGCCTTAATAAAGACTGGAGGGGAAAAAAACAAGGTTACCAACTCCAGGATACTTAGGTTGAATTTATCTTTTTTTCAGTGAAGTTAATTTTATCTTACTCTTTTCAATTTAAATTGAGTCCGGCAAGCATAAAACTTTGTTTTATGCTACTTTAAAGACAGTGGAGCTTAGTGGAAATAGCATAAAGTCTGAGGAACATCTGAATTCAAGTTTTAAGGGTAACTTATTAGATCCTGGGCTATATTCTTTCTTAATTTCTCATCTTTACAGTGTGGGTGGTGATACCCCATGGAAGTTCTAGAAGGATTAAAGCATCTCATTAAGTCAGTGACAAAATGGTTGCAATTATTACTTAAAACGCCTTCTTACAGCTTTTCCCTCTATAACTACTAGAACTTTTTAGTCTTCTCTGTGTCCTTAACATTCTCAAACTACTTGGAGTATACCAACTACACCCTTTTAATATGCATTCTTGAAGATCTTAGGAATCTTTGGAAACTTTCAGATAAATTTTATTTTATGAGAACAATATTTTTAAGCCTGTTGCATCATGAGAGAATATTATCTGAGAGTTTTCTGTCAGAACGATTAGAAATACAAGTTTCTTTTGCAGTTTCTTTTAAATGGTTTTGTTTTCTTTTTTTTGAGACGGAGTTTCACTCTTGTTACCCAGGCTGGAGTGCAATGGCGCGATCTCGGCTCACTGCAACCTCCGCCTCCTGGGTTCAGGCAATTCTCCTGCCTCAGCCTTCTGAGTAGCTGAGATTACAGGCACGCACCACCATGCCCAGCTAATTTTTTGTATTTTTAGTAGAGACGGGGTTTCACCATGTTGACCAGGATGGTCTCGATCTCTTGACCTCGTGATCCACCCGCCTCGGCCTCCTAAAGTGCTGGGATTACAGGCTTGAGCCATCGCGCCCAGCCTTGTTTTCTTAAATTGGAAATATGTAGTCTATGATCAGTAATAGTTTCATTCATAACTTTATACCATTATGAATTTTACAAAGTAAGCAAATTATCCCTACATAAACCTTGAATTGAGATAAAATTTTCTTTTTAGACACCATTTTTGTCTAAGAAATATATGTAGTTGGTGTTCCTCGCTGGTCTGTTAAGCCTTGATGACACATAATAAGTTATCAGTTTGAGATCATGGGCCTCTAGGAAGCGAGGAAATGATGCCCCAGCTCAGCAAGAAATTTTAAAGAACCTGTATAAACCCTCAGGGCATTTGGAATATCTTTCATTTGTTAGTTTCTAACCTGACAGGATGCCTCTCACTTCTTATTCACAGTCCAACTACTTATATAAATGAAGGAGTTCAAATAAATGTCACCAGAGTGGTATGATGTGAAAGTTTTATTTGTGATGTAAAATTTGTCTTCACCTACTCCTAGTACTTTCACAATATAAGCATATTGAATATTCCAGGGTAACCAAGATAATCATAAAGTTGAATGTCTTAGTGTTTATCAAAGAAAGACACCACAATGATTCTCTAAATTAGCCCTTTTATATTAGTATCATGTACCCTGGCTGCCTCCCTTCCCCTTCCCTCCATTCCTCTCCCCTTCTCTTCCCTCCCCTCCTCTTCCCTTCTCTCCCTTCTCCATCCCTTCCCCTCCCCTTCCCTTGCCTTCCCTTCCTTCCTCTCCCCTTCCCTCTCTTTCCCGCCCTTCCCCTCCCCTCCCATCCCATCCTGTCCTGTCCTGTCCCTTCTGTCACTAAAAGTACATTTATACCCAGGTAATAGCAGATGGTTCCAAATTGTACCCTTGTGATAGCAAACTCTCTTTAAATATTGTCACAAATGTAAAATAGACTGAGGACATCTGCCTAAGTCTGTGTTCATCCCATATGCTAAATGGAAGACATTTCCCCTGCCTGTATTGTAAATAGCACCACATATTGGCTTATAAAGAAAATAAGCCAAATAATCATCTTATTTTAAAGCTAATCTAACATTTGTCTTTTAATCTAGTCATTTGATTTGTGAGTGTTGTATATAGTAGTCCCAAAGAATAGAAAATCCAACAATCTGGCAAGTACTTAACAGTGTGTGTTCTTTTTTATTTTTGTTCCCTTTTTTTCTGTTATATATATCCCAGTCACTTTTTTTTTTTTCTTTTGAGATGGAGTCTTGCTCTGGTCACCCAGGCTGGAGCGCAGTGGCGCAATCTCGGCTCACTGCAACCTCTACCTCCCAGGTTCAAGTGATTCTCCTGCCTCAGCCTCCTAAGTAGCTGAGATTACAGGCCCCGCCACCACGCCCAGCTAATGTTTTTGTATTTCTAGTAGAGATGGGGTTTCACCATGTTGGCCAGGCTGGTCTTAAACTCCTGACTTCAGGTGATCCGCCCACCTCGGCCTCCCAAAGTTCTGGGATTACAGGCATGAGCCACTATGCTCAGTCCCAGTCACTTTTGTAAAACCACTTTCATATCCAGGTGCAATGACTCACACCTGTAATCCCAGCTACTTAGGAGTCTGAGGCAGTGGGGATTGCTTGAGGCCAGGAGTTCAAGACCAGTTTGAACAACATAGCAAGACCCTGTCTCTAAAAAAAAAAAAAGAGAGAGAGAGAGAAATATGATTGTGGTATTAATTATAATAATTATATAACAAGATCCTTGAAATCATCAGGCATATGAAATAGGACTGTTCTAATCTAGCATTGGGGCTTGCAAGTATTCCCAATTTATCTAGGCAATTGTAATGACTGTTGAAAACTTTTTTTTTTTCCATTTTACCTTTTGTATTTCTTTGGCATGGCAAAACCTGATGTTTCAGCCAAGTGATTTTATAGTATATGTATAAAATCACAAACTTTTTCCTCTGGAAAAAAGTGTGTGGTTTGTTTTATTTGCATTTTAAAAATTGCATGCTCTCTTGTATTTTATAACCTTTGGTTTATCCAGGAATATGCTGAATTTCAGTATCGGAGGAGGCACAGACAGCGTCGTCGAGGAGACGTGCACAGTCTGCTCAGTAATCCTCCAGAGCCTGATGAGCCAAGTGAAAGCACTTTAGGTAAACCCTTGGGTTGCGTATGGTTTAATCCCAAAGCTCTCCTGAAATTATCCTTCAAACTGGCTGATGTAAATGTTTATAAAACAGTTTTTCATTTAGATATAAATATGCAGATGCTTCTATTGTGATGGGATAAAGAAAATCAGGGCAGTTAAGAGCATGGGCTGTGGAGTCAGGCAAACTTGGATTTATTACCCCATCTCTGCTGCATATTAGCTGTGTAACTTAGTCAGTTCACAACCTCTCTAGGGCTCTTTCCGCATTCTAAAAAAACAATAATAATAGTGCCACCTTATAGGCTCATTGTGAGTATTAAATTAGATAATGCATCTAAAACACGTAAGCACCTAGTGAGCACTCAGTTAATTGTAGTATTGATACTGTTTTTGTGTTCATATAATATTTGTCTCCTAGCCTTAGTTGTCCTGTAGACATTATTTAAGAGAGAGAATTTCTGGCATTAGAGATATTATTTTAATTATTCAACTTTTATTATTAAATTATTAAGTGAAAATCTTCCAACTGTAATGTCAGGATCAATGGGACTAAAGATTTGCTCTTCAGACTTTCGTAATTCCCAGATTATTTAATTTTAAGATATCTAAAAATGAAAAACCTTTTTTAGTTATTGCTTCACAAAAAAAGAGAAATGGATAGTAGCACTTGCATTTATGAATAGAACCATATAGACTGCAAGCAAAAATGTGAAAACGTCAGCCAGGCATGATGATTCATGCCTGTCATCCCAGCACTTTGGAAGGCCAAGGCAGGCAGATCAATTGAGGTTAGGAGTTTGAGACCATCCTGGCCAGCGTGGTAAAACCCTCTCTCTAATAAAAATACAAAAATTCGCCGGGCATGATGGCACATGTCTGTAGTCCCAGCTACTCGGGAGGCTGAGGCAGGAGAATCGCTTGAACCCAGAAGGCGGAAGTTGCAGTGAGCCAAGATTGTGCCGCTGCACTCCAGCCTGGGTGACAGAGGCTTTTTTTAACCTTTACACACACACACAAAAGGGAAAAAGTCATGGATTAGAAGTGATAGTGTCATATATATGTTATTGCTCATGGTAAGACAAATATGGATGAGAAATCCTAGAAAGATTTAAGTGAACATGTCATCACAGGTGACATGAGAAATTGCCAATTTCAACAACCAGGTGTATGAAAAAAATAATTAAGTCTTACTTGTCACTAAATTGTCTTTGGTACCAATTGCTTTGAAACAGATATTCCAGAAGGCGGCAGCAGCAGCCGCAGACCTGGCACATCCGTGGTAAGTTCTACATCTATGAGTGTACTGCACAGCTCTTCCCTGCGTGACTACACCCCTGCCAGTCGCTCTGAAAACCAGGACTCTCTTCAGGTAGCCTTTCTGAGCAGCCTTATTGCCTATGCTTTTGCTCTTTCACTGTTGAGTGTGGTTTCCTGTTTTTATTTTCATTGCTTTCCTGTTTCTTCCTTCCATTCTAAAATCTTTGTTCTAAAGATGTGCTGCAGGAAAAGATTTTACCATATTTTAGATTTATTTTAAGGTAGGGTTTTTTCCTTTTGCATTGGCACAGAGAAAATTATAAGATTTTAGTAGATAAAATAATTATTCTGTATAAATAGAATTAATAATCTGTTGGTAAAGGAAGAATGGTAAACCTGATTGGTTAAATCAGTTTTTCTTTAGTCAAATTTTAAAGTGGTTTTGCTTTCTGTTGCTTCAGGCTCTGAGTTCCTTGGATGAAGATGATCCCAATATACTTCTTGCAATACAGTTATCACTGCAGGAGTCTGGACTGGCCATTGATGAAGAAACTGGAGACTTCCTCAGTAATGAAGCATCCTTAGGTGCAATAGGCACTTCTTTACCTTCCAGGCTGGACTCTGTCCCCAGAAATACGGATAGCCCTCGGGCTGCATTGAGCAGCTCTGAGCTTTTGGAACTTGGAGACAGCCTTATGAGACTAGGAGCAGAGAGTGACCCATTTTCAACTGACACCCTCAGTTCACACCCTCTCAGTGAGGCAAGAAGTGATTTCTGTCCCTCATCCAGTGACCCTGATTCAGCTGACCAAGACCCTAACATCAATGACAATCTTCTTGGCAACATCATGGCTTGGTTTCATGACATGAACCCTCAGAGTATTGCCCTGATTCCTCCAGCAACTACAGAAATTAATGCAGATTCCCAGCTCCCCTGTATCAAAGATGGATCAGAAGGTGTGAAGGATGTGGAACTGGTGCTGCCAGAAGATTCAGTGTTTGAAGATGCCAGTGTCAGGGAAGGTAGAGGAACCCAGATGGAAGAAAATCGTTTGGAAGAAAATATTCTGACTGAGGAAGCAGCATCTCAAGCTAGTGACAGTGGTAATGAGGCGGCCAACAGAGTAGATGGTTCAGATGTTTCAAGTCAAACACCTCAAACCTCAAGTGACTGGCTTGAACAAGTACATTTAGTGTGAACTGCACACATCTGGGCTCTAAATGAATTACAGATATAGATGGTATGCTACGTGGAGTATGCTTGAAAGAGACTTTGATTCACTTAATTCCAACTCAGTGATAAACCACCAACATTAGGGTTGAATACAAAGGAGTTCCCTTGAATGGTAGCTTCATTTTTTATTTTAACCTTACAGGGAATTTCCTTTGTACTTAATTGAATAGCTTTTCCCCTTTCTGCTGACAAAACGGAGAGCAAGAGAAAGAGAAACAAAAATGAAATAAATAGGTTGTATTCCATATTTTAAGAAAATGCAGTCCTCTATTTAGCCTAGGGTTGACAATACTTAAATTGAACATTTAAACTAAAGGCTTACTCCCTAATCTTTGGGTGGCTTTCCTTTAAAAAACAAAAAAGTTTTCTTCATTCTAGAAATTCATTTTTGATAGATCCGATAACATGTATGTTCTGTCTCTTTGTGCTCTTCTGTAACTTCCTTTCTTCCTTTTTGTCTAAGCAATGTGAATTGAAGTCTCTTTAGTACCACATCTACCACAGTATAATTAGTTTTAATTTTCACATGAAGCAAAGATTTCCTTTCATGTCTATTTACAGTCCAATTGTGCCAAACTCTGACTTGTGTGCTGACTAACAAGGCATTTAGGTGTGCAGTATCCTAGAGTGCTCCAGGGCAGTGTCAGCATTCTTGGGAGTAAAAGGTGCCACTCAGTAACAATGATATTCCAGAATTAAATGGGTTTTTGTTGCCATGGAGACTGCATTTATATAAATGTAGCCTGTAGCTTAAGTTAACTAAACCTAATGCTGCTGTTAAAAAGTTTATTTTAATATTAAAATACAGTTGATTAGCAACAGCGGTGCTGTATTTTAAGAGACACTTTATTGGAAGTGCAATCATAGTTATTTGTTTTCACACTTTTACAGTGCATTCTAATTACTAATGGGTGCAATTACTTTTAATGGTAGGTGTTTTATAATATAGAAAAAAAAGTGGAGTTTTCATGAGTTGTAGTAAATCCCACGATTATTAAGAAATTCAGTAAAACATCCTGCGCAACATGTTACCGTGCCTTTGCCTAACCTAAATGGATAGTTGCCAGTTAAATAAGTGAGTAATTCAAATTTCAATGTCTCTTCTGAAGTAACTATGCTATGAATTGCAAAGACCTCCATAAAACCACCCATGGCCTTGCTTTTACAGTAACAACTAAATGTTCAACCAGTTTGTTTGCCTAACTAGCAAATGCTGACATCTGTTTGTTCTATTGCACAATACTCATTTGCTGTGTGATTACTGTTTAGTGTTGAAAAAAATCAACTTCCTAGTTATCAGTGTCTACTGTGAAGAAAATACTGGTCTTAGTTATAATTAAGATACAATGGTACAGTGTGTAATTAAAACTAGAGTAAACTGTTGGAATGGTTGTTTTACTTACATTTTATCAAAACTAGCGTAACATAAGCAAAATAGGTAAGTGCAACGCTCCGTTTAGTGTTTTGCCAAATTGTTACCAGAAATCTACAGATACCAAAATTTCAGTTCTGAGTTTGTACAGGCAAGTCCTGGGCTGAGTAAAAAGTTATATTAGTATTGTTATCCACAAGTGATGTGATTATGGTTTTTAATTACTTTTTTTCCAAACCCTGCTTTTGAAATATGCTTATACTTAAAAATCATATTGCTAGGATACTATATTATAATATTTAATATTCTCCAGATCCTCTTAGGATAAACTGTGGGAATCCTCCTATGCCAGGCATAACAAAGGTCCACATTAGTTTTTATTTCTCCAGTGATCAGAAACATTGATATAAATACCTATTAAAGTTAGTGGGGGGAAATATTAACTTTATCTACAGTGTATTACTGTATATTAAACTGAAATAGTCCATTAAAGGATTTTTTATGAATTTATTTTGGATTAAAAATATCAACACCAATAAGTTTTTAGACCAAGTTGTAACTTTTCCAATATAGAGTCTTTGCATCACATTGAGGCATCTTGCACAGCTGCAGTTAAGGTGAGAAAGAATGCTCTGTGTGAAGATAGCATACAAAATGGTTCCGGTTTCTTTGCACCTTGTGCAGTATCCTTTATTTCTGTGCTGTTCTCTTCTGAGCATGAAAAATGATAATTATCCAATTTGTATTTCCTTGGTACATATTTTAAAAACAACACAGTCATTGACTTTACAATTCAGTAATGAAGTTTGGCAAAGCCTATTTTGTAAACAAGTTAATTTTATAATGTAAAAAAAAGTTAATCTAACCTTGACTTGTTATTTGCACTTTCATAGTCTATACTTGATACATTCCCACTTTATATACGGTAGGATTCTACAAACGTGTAGATGTTTGGCCAAATGAATGCTGTTAATAATATGTAAAATTCTTTGATTAAACATTTATTACTTAAACTACTTCCATTTTGTCTCATTACATTGTAGACTTTGTTTTAACCAAGTCAGAAAGCTGATTTTCCTCAAATTTAAATCCCTCCAATGTGATGGGATCAATTTGGTTCTTACGTGTAATTGATTAGTGCCTAATATTTTTACACTAGCCACTTACTGAGCATTTTATATCCCAGTGATAAATACAAAAACACTGCATGACAATGTGTTAAAACATTATGACTTCAGTGCTCATTTTATTGATGTCACTGTAGCTTTCAGAAGAAAAATGTTATTACTTTTTTTTGAAATCTAATAGAAATACAAGAAAAATAAGATATGTTTTGTGAAATTGCTTAGGAAAGAAAAAATTATGCCATTTGAATAAAAATGCCTGCTTCTCTGTCACTTTATTATTGTGTCCCTTATGAGTTACCAAAATAACCCATGACATCTGACCTTGCGGGTGCTTCATGGGGTCTGCCGGTGATAACCATTTAAAGCAGTGTCATTTTATTTATGCCTTTCATTGTGTGGATCTGAAGTTAACTACCAATATTCATATGCTGAATTATTCCTTAAATGTTCATTACAGCCACTGATCTCACTTTTTATCTCCTTTGAGTCCTCAAATATTTATCATTTATGTGTTACGAATTAAAATCTGGAATTTATTGTTTAGTCATAATTTTATTTTATTTTTTATTTTATTTTTTTGAGACGGAGTTTCGCGCTTGTTACCCAGGCTGGAGTGCAATGGCACGATCTCGGCTCACCGCAACCTCCGCCTCCTAGTCTCAGGCAATTCTCCTGCCTCAGCCTCCTAAGTAGCTGGGATTACAGGCATGCGCCACCACGCCCAGCTAGTTTTATTGTATTTTTAGTAGAGACGGGGTTTCACCATGTTGACCAGGATGGTCTCGATCTTTCAACCTCGTGATCCACCCGCCTCGGCCTCCCAAAGTGCTGGGATTACAGGCTTGAGCCACCGCGCCCGGCCATTTGTTTAGTCATAATTTTAAAGCAGTAATAGTGTATCTCTGAAGAGTAAAACCTTGGAATATAAATATTAAGTGATAATACAAACTTTGGTGGTATTTTAAGGCTGAAATAACTCCAAAGGAAAAAATTGTTCATGCAGTCAGCTCTTGGACTGAGTAGTCGTTTTTTGGGGTTTTTTTCTTTTTCCTTTTTTCTTCCTCTGAGACAGGATCTCACTCTGGTGCCCAGGCTGGAGTACAGTGGTGTGGTCATAGCTCACTGCAGCCTCAACCTTCCAGGCTCAGGCGATTTCCCTACCTCAGCCTCCCAAGTAGCTGGGACTGCAGACACATGCCACCACGCCTGGCTAATTTTTGTATTTTTTGTAAAGACAGGGTTTTGCCATGTTGCCCAGGCTAGTCTTGAACTCCTGGACTCAAGAAATCTGCCCGCCTGGGCCTCCCAAAATGCTGGGATTACAAGTGAGAGCCACTGCGCCTGGCCCAGAAGTTTAATCTCAGCATTGTGTTACAGTCATAATTACTGGGTCTTCTCCTTGGCAACAGCATATTGTCTTGTCAGTTGTTAAAACCTTCTCACCAGAATGAAAGATTTCTTTCTAGAAAGATAGAAGTGTCTCTTTCTAGACTGTATTATGTGACAGTCCTCTAGGTACTAGCTGTAGACTTAGTTCTTAAAGATGTATTAGAAAAGTTTCCTTTAGCTCTCAGTTCCACCTAGGACTCACAGGTAGCTGACAGACTGAATGGTGGCCAAACTTTTGAAGGAATTATTCTTCCGTCTTTGAAACTGCAATTTGACAATATTCTTGATCTAGCTATCTTCATCTCTTAGCCAACTGTCTCATCAAGTATTTATTGTATAAGTGCATAGCCTGTGTGAGGCATCAGTATACAACAGATTGAGAGAGAAATACATGAGAGTCAACAAAGCCAAAGCACAAAACGGGTAATTGTTGGAGGATACAGTCAGGCCTCTTATCTTACTAGGTATGCCAAGACTGCAAGGCCCTGTTGACAATTTTGCCTGAGCCATCTCTCAGGATTTATGTAACTAGTAACGAGGTCAAGGAGCAGGCTTAACTGCTTACTATAGAAGTAGTGGATTCCTCACACTTAGTGTTCAGCCTAACTCCAATGTGAACACCACAGTGTGCTTGCTATCCATCCAGGCCCATTGCATTGCCCCTGTGAAACCGGAGACAAGGGGAACTGATGCGAATATGCTGAGGTTCATTCTGAGTGCTGGGCCAAGTGTGATAAACTCCTTTTCCTCTGACCCAAGAGTCTCTTGTCTTCTGTCAGCATTCTTGAGATTGTAACAGGCTAACTTACTGGTTTGTCAGTAAGGTAAAGTGAAATCCTGGAACTGAAGAGTTTTGGCAACAAGGATGGGATGCTGACAAAGATAATGATATTCTGAAAAAAGAACCATGGGCCAGGTTCTGGAATGTAAGACTCCCTGGGATCTGGTAGTGAATCCTCTCACCCTAATGAGGGATATAGGGAGAGGGTTGGTGGACACTAAGGTTTTCCATGGTCCTACCTATTCACAAACAGGAGGCAATGTTTAGAGGCTTAGCAACGAGGTAGGATTGAAACAGTGCAAATGGTGCTTTGTTACTCCTGCAGGCAGGCAGAGGAAAGGATGTTTTCGTGACAACTGTGGCTGAGTCAAGTCCCAAAATGTAAAATAAATGGTGTTATCAAGAAGAACCTTGCTCTTCGATTAAGAGCCTTGGGTAGACTGAAAACAGGAGGTTATTTGATTGAGCTGCAAGCAATTGCAGCACTGTTCAGATGCCAAAGTGAATGCAAAGCCATGCCTAAAAGTGCAGAGCAGGCCACAGCAGGTTCAGCCAGTAATGAGGACAAGGTGCTGGGTGCAGGGTGACAGAAGTGCCGAAGGCTTCGTAGTAAAATGTGGCATTGCGTATGGGGGAAAAAAGCCTGGAGCCCGAGTTCTTTCTGAATGCTGTAGGGGCTCACCACTGCCTCAGGAGAGGTAGTTGTCAGTGTTCCGGCACTGATCCTGCAGCAAAAGGCTTAAAGGAGAAAAAAGGCTGAAAATTTTCTTCCCCACAGACAGCCTCTTCTGCAACCCTCCTGGTTGGGGGATAATGTGATCCAGCACTTACTTGCCACTTGTAGCCCCTGACTTGCACACATTCTCGTCGGTCTGTGGTGTTCCCGTGGTGGAAAAGGCTTTTTAACATGTTCCATGGTGAGGAAGGGAAGCTAATAGTATCTTGCAGGCGGGGCCTTTTGGGTGACTCAATGTAATGTGGCTTCTAATTCTGAATGTACAATGGAATTGATGTGTTGTATTCCCACACTTACCTGTCTTATAATTGTCAGTAGGATTCTCCCTTTCAAGGGCTGCCGCATGTACAGAGGTAATAATGGGCTGTGTAAATTATGTGTCTGTGACCCCTCCTAGGTGGTCCTCCAGACAATACAGAATCTCAGGAGGGGAAAGGGGAATTGCTCACTCTTAATGGCAGTCAGAGCATTCAGGCCTTTTCCCAATCCAGTGTGGCCACCTACCTGACCCAGCCACCAAACAATATCCACTTTGAAAAACAGGGAACTTTTTTTTTTAAATACATAATTTTATTGTGTTTTAGGTTTGGGGGTACATGTGAAGAACAGGCAAGATTGTTGCATAGGTACACACATGGCAATGTGGTTTCTCCCCATCACCTATATCTGGCATTTCTCCCCATGTTATCCCTCCCCAACTCCCCACCCTCCATTATCCCTCCCCTAGTGCCTCCCTACAGTCCCCTCCCAAAACAGGGAACTTTAAATGTGCAGCTCTCGAAACCGAATACCTGACCGATAGAAACTTTGGGACTTGCTGATCTGACATCTCGACTTTAGGGTAGGTCAATTCTAATTGGAGAATTAACAAGATGGAAAGGCTCCAACAGGCCTTGCTAGTCACATTGAAATGATATATTTGAGAGGGCAGCTAGCCTGGCCCTAGCATATCTCAATTTTACTTGAAAAATTATAGCTGTGCCTTGGGGGGAAATTTTGTGCCCAACCTCACTGCCTGTAGCATGGCCACTAGCTGATGCTAGAATGGCTGGACTTAGTTCAGTTGCTGGGCAGCAATTTGTGCCAAATCCCAGTGATTTTTTTTTTTTTGTAGCTATAGATAATTCTAAAATGTATATGGAAAGGCAAAAGAACTAGAATAGCTAAAACAATTTTGAAAAAGAAAAATAAAATGAGAGGAAGTATGCTACCCTCTTTCAAGACAGTGTGATACTGGTGAATGGATAAACATATAGATCAATAGAATAGAACATAGAACCAGAAATAGCCTCACACTAATATTGTCAACTGGTTTTAACAAAGGCACAAAAGGAGAAAGGATAGTATTTTCAAAAAATGATGCCTTATACTCTGTATAAAGTATAAAGCAGGCAAAACTTAGGAACCTCTACTTAAAACTCACACTTTATATATAAAACTTAAAATTGATCATAGATTTCAATGTAAAATATGCAACTTTTAGAAAAGAACAGAGAGTTCAAGATGTCAGGTAAGCAAAGAATTTTTAGACTTGATACCAAAAGCATAATTCATAAAAGAAAAAATCTGATAAACTGGACTTCATCAAAATGTAAAATGTTTGCTCTACAAAAGATCTGATAAAGAAGATGAAAAGACAAGCCTGGGAGGAAATATTTGCAAACCACGTATCTGACAACTCATAGAATGTATAAAGAAGTCTCAAAACTAAACAATAACAAGACACTCCAATATAAAATGGACAAAAGAAATGAAGAAAAATTTCACCAAATAAGAAAAATGACAAACACATGGAAATTGTTCAACATCACTATCCATCTGGGAAATGCAAATTAAGATCACAGTAAGACACCACACCTATCAGAATGGCTAAAATAAATAGTGTCAACACCAAATGCTGGTAAGGATGTGGATAAACGAATACTCATACATTGCTGATGGGAATATACAATGGTACAACCATCCTGGAAAATAATTTGGTAG